GGCGGTCGGGGAAGGAGTGCCTGCGTGGAGGGTGAAGAGAGGGGGGGGAGGGGTGCAGGTGGCTTGAGTGCACGGTCCAGATTAAATTGTTTTTCGGAAATATAGAAGAAACAGTGTCGCATGTTGGTTCAAAAGGGGGTGGGCTTATGGGGGGGTTGCTCTGCTTGATGGTGTCCTGGGGCATGTGCCCAAATGGTTCATGTTCATTCAGGCCAGAGTTCATCCTCTCCTATGGAAATGTTATTGTAGAGAGGAATACATATACGTTAAGTAACTTACAGGTCCTTTTTGAGAAATAAACACTTCTATAGGTCAGAATTATTTAACAACTTGTTAAAGAAAAATTCTCTTTACACACTGCTCCCCCAAAACATGTTACAGTAAATCTTGTGAACGATACAGGAGTGGGTTTCCCTAAAATTTTGTAACGCTAAGTATTTCATTATCTAGCACTTAAGATCAATCATGAATTAGCAAGTGTTTCTCGAATCCCTTCGTAGCTAAGGTAGCTTGTAATCTTGCTTGTAAATTTACGAGTACTCTGGCACACATTATTTTCTATGTTGTTCTTCATTTGAACTTTTTCCTGCTGTCCTGTTAGATGCAGAGATCACCCAAAATAAATCACAAAAACACATTAATGTTCTCTTTTTGAACAGCATGCTAATGATGTTGATGATGATATAATAATGAAAGGTCAATGTTTCAATATAAAACTATAATGTAGGCTATAAATTAGTGCAAAAAGAGCTCATTGTTTTAACACTTATATGCCATTTGAGTGCATAACAAGGTCCTACCCTATTCAGAATTGAATTCAGAATGACCTTGAAATTCAAATGCAATTCATAAAAGTGGTTGAAAACAAGGTGCAGAATTGCAATTTAAATTTGAATATAAGGAAGTAGAATTAAAATGAAATTGATTTCTCATAAATTCTTATACATAGTGCAGGTGCAGCTGTAGGGTTGAGGTCAGGGCTCTGTGTGGGTCAGTCAAGTTCTTCCACACCAAGCTCACCCAACCATGTCTGTATGGACCTTGCTTTGTGCACTTGGTCACAGTCATGATGGAACCGGAAAGGGCTTCCCCCAAACTGCTTCCACAATGTTGGAAGCATAGAAATCTCCTAAATGTTTTTTTATGCATGCTCGCACAGAGCCTTATGAAAGTTCTTCTGAATGAATGGGCAAAAAATCCTACAGACACCAAAATCCTGTGGAAAACCTTCCCAGAAGAGTGGCAGCTGTTATAGCGACAAAGGGGGACCAACTCCATATTGATGCCTATGGATTTACAATGATGTCAAGTACCTGAATGTGAATGGCCAGGTGTCCCAATACTTTTGTCCATATAGTGTTTACTTCACCGTTGAAATATGTGGAATCGATGTTTCTGATTTTCAACTAAAAACTATCTTTTAATATTGTCTGATGGAAAGAACAAAAAGATTGATACACACTGGATTATTATTCAAATTTGTCCTCTTTTCATTATTGTTTTAAGTCAGAAGCTTGTCTACAGCTCATACCGAAAAAAGAAACATACACCATAAATACACCTACTGTCAACCAGAAAAAGGCTCAGAATTTCCAATTCAGTTGCTAGGAAGTGACTTAATTTCCATGTACTGGAAATGTTTCTTAGCAGACAGAAAGACAAAAGATATCAAAACAACTTGACTGAAACACAATAAAAAAATCTGTTACCATGGACATAAATGTTATACTCTACTTTGATTTCAGGGGTTCACAAAGGAATGAATAATCTAAATTGACAAATTTAAGAACTGGAATGAAGATAAATTTCTCTCAGTAATTGATACTTATAATAATATGCAATTATACGTTTCATATTTTAGTAATTATGATATACTGCATGTAATATCCATCCATTTTCTTGAACCGCTTGTCCCATTATCCGAGAGGCTATAGGCGCAAGGCAGGGAACAACCCAGGATAGGGTACCACACACCATTCACTCACACGTGGGATGGGGTACCACACACCATTCACTCACACGTGGGATGGGGTACCACACACCATTCACTCACACGTGGGATGGGGTACCACACACCATTCACTCACACATGCTATACCTACAGATAATTTGGGAACTCCAGTTCACCTTATCATGTTTTTGAATTATTGGGGGAAACCCCATGACGACATGGGAGATCATGCAAGCTCCGCACACATGGAGCCATGGCGGAGAAATCCTGGTCGCAGAGGTATGACGCAACAGCGCTAAGCACTGCACCCCCGTTCCGCCACTTGCCACATATACATAGTAGTGTGCTTTTTCATATTCACCTGTATTTTGTTGAGTGCTTCATTCCCTTGGTATTCAGTGGTTAACTTCTCCACTTAATGGTTAACTGTGCTTTTCATATTTGGCCACTTGCAATGAAAATTTTATCTTGTCTTGACTCTAGTATTCGTGTGCCCTATACTATTTCATATAACAATATTCAAATCAAAAATGATTTTGCATATTCTCCCAGTGTTATGCTGGTTTCCTTCAGCGGAGGAACTGGGAGGGCATGTATCCCCCAAATATTTAATTTGGTTTCATTCATCCTCCCAGTAAATAGATTTGTATTTAAATTAAGTATAGCTCCAAAATATTAAATTCTCTCTTACACCATTGCTGTCAGGTTCTACATTCCTCACTAGTCCAGAAATACAGGGTTGTGTAGCTGCCAGATGTGTAATTGTGTATGAGTGGATGTGATGGACTGGGAACTTGTTCACCATTTCCCCTGCCTTTTGGCCTTGATTCTGGGCTTAGGTACCAAGCTTACCAAGGCCCTGTACTAAATAAACGGTTATGGAAGATAGATGGAATATGTATGTATTTTTTTATATTTGTACAGAAACATATATGGAGTTGAACTGAGTTTAATAGCTACCAAGCAAGAATAACAATGCTTACACGTAGGTCCTTTTTGTGTTAAAAGGGAAACAAACAACTTTTAAACTGAAAATAACATTTCCTGGGCTGAATGTCTACATCAGTGTTTGCCGTCATGATCACACACACAGAAAACATTTCATGTTTTTTTTCCTAGCCATGTTTCCATTCTTTGATTAAGCCTCCACATTCGTTACTAAAACCACATCCTGTGAAGTATTTGTTCGTTCTTACGTGTGACTTTGCAAAGCAATCCTTTATATCTCTTCTCTAATGTTGAAGAGATTAAGTTTTCCAAAATCATGGTCTGATTTAACCCAAATTAATCACTGGATTTGGCATTTAATAATATGCTGCATCCTACCCATGGTTGTTTACACATATAACCATATAAATATGGGAAATTGTTTTCTAAGTGTGCTAAAATAATTAATAATTTGTAATAATGAATAGGAACAACACAACAAATAATTCACTTTAAATGCAAGTTTATTTTAAGGAGCAAGCAAAGTAAAAGTTAAGCAAAAGTAAAATCTTGAATATAAAACAATTCAGAGCTGCTTATAAAGTGTAAAACAATAAAGTATGTGAAGCAAAAAACTGAATCTTTTCAAAAAACATTGTGCTGATTTACAAAAAAAGTTTTATAACACTGACGTTTCATCAGAGCTAATTGCCATTTCTCTAGTCATCACTTCTTTGCTGCTGAGCCCTGAAATAGAATTTTAATAAACATTTTATTTCACTTATTTCATTTTTATATGTATCAAACCTATAGATGTACTAAGAAAAACAATTATACACACAATAAATTATTTATTTATTTGTATTCATGTTTTTATAAAGAGCCAAATTATGCTCGACCAGGATACATTTTTGAGCTGCTTTAGAATAAAATTTTTCAGAAAGCAGAATTCAACTTTAAGTTAAGAGAAAATGAAAAACAAGCATACCTTTAGCTTCCACACAACAACGAAGATGAACATTCCATACACGGCACTCTTAGCGATTAATGTCCCATAAGTCAGCTTTGCCCACTGCGACCTGCTTATAATATCATCTGAAGATGGAGAAAGAAAAAAAAAAACACTTGTAAAAATCACCCTGGTTCATAATACTTGAACAATTTCTAGCACAAATATTAGGAAATTACCTTTCTGTAACGAACCACCTGTAAATAAAGGGACATAAGAGAACATAAAAATATGCTATATTTAAATTTTCCACTTAAAATGATATACAGAAAAATCATCTGCATGTGAGAAAATTGTGTTGGAAATTTGTGATGTAAATTGTGGCTTTATGTTCTGCTGTGTTATAAATGATACATTTATAATGTCTCACCTTTAACTCCATTTATGGTGTAAAATGAATCAATGTAAGATGTCTTATTGTAAGATGTCTCGTTGATGTATCTGGTCAAACAGGTGAACCGGTTCCTGGTGTTGTACCACTTCTTGAGTGGGATTCGGAGTCTGCTGGTGATGCTGTATTTGCCTGTGTTTTCATTTCGCGTTGCCCTCTCATCTGTCTGGTAGCCATGCGTGATGTTTGCTCCATTTTTCTGCCAGTACACTTGAATGTGGTCAGGGTAGAATTCTGTGGCCACACACACCAGGGTCACTGTTTTCTTTTTTGTACAGATCTCGTTCTGTGATGGATCCAGCACTTTCACTGTTGGCCTAGTGATCTCAGTACCATCTGTGGAGATTAGGAGAGGAACATTTACTCAGCAGTACAGATGTATGCATTTTTCCAGCAACATCCTCAGTTTTATGCTTGTATCATAACTTGTTTATCCCAAATGAGAATGTACAGTACATATAAAAAAATAAAAAGGTAAATGCACAGTATTTTAAGTGGAAACCAAATATATGTATGTTGCTAATTATATCACTTCTAGATTCCTACATTCGGTTATGAAAAAATGGATCAATGTTGGAACCTTGTAGTCCAGTTATGTATTTATACACCACAGAGCAAAGAATTATCATTAAAAATAAATATGCCTTAATAAAGAACTACTTCATTAACAATTACAAATTATCAGACATTCTTAATTCTTTCAAACAATATGGTCATAACACTTCTCTAAAAAAAACGCTCCTCAACTGAAATTTAATGCCTGAAATATGTTCAACTCCGAAGCATTTCAGCTTGTTTGGTTCCCCAACACTGAATTTGTTCTTACTCACCCAGCACTGTTAGTTTACTGCCTGCGCCGAAGTACAGCACATCTGCTGAGCACAGTTCTCACTCCATGTTTAAAAACAGATGTATCTTTATCTAATTTAATTATCTTTATCTATTCATTCTTAGGGCACACACTGACCTAAAGCTAAACTGGACAGGAACTACATCATTTTGATGACACTGACCAAATCCAAAAACTGGATCAGATCAGCCGCAAATCTTATTTAATGCTTTAGATTTTTTTTTCTGTAATACTCGTTATTTTTGTGATATTAGTAATTTACTTTTCTCTATTTGTCAAAGCTGTGCTACATGTGTTTCATTGCTACAATCATTTAAAGCTTTTATGAGACACATATGGTGAGTCTGTATAACAGTAATTGGCACCATTTTACAATGAGGCTCCCTTTGTCGCTTATTAATGGTAGTAACTCATTAATAAGAAGGAAACTGTGGTATAACTTGTTTATAATTGTCTAGTAATTATTTACGAGGTGTTACAATAAACTGCCTGTACTCTTGTTATTGACAAAAGTGGCTGGTGGATGTATGGAATTTGTATTGCCCTCAGATTGTTGATGAATATTATTGCAATTTTCATCACGTGAAATACAAAATCAGACCTCGTGCTGACATTATTTGACACTTTTGTTAACATTCTGCAGCGATACCTCAGTTCACATTGGTTGCTGTGTTACTAAACTGTCACAGTGAAACCCACAAGCTGCAGGTTTGCTTTACCGGATGTATCTTATCGACTTGACCCATTTACCAGCAGAGTTTTACACCGCCCCCCCCCCCCCCATCCCCCTCTGACAGCCAAGGCTGCTGGCTTCACTATCACAATATGAAACACTTCTTTTTCATTTTCACAAAAAATATAGGCTACTGAAAATGTGCCGTTTTAATATGTGTAAAAGACTATATAAATTCACATATTAATTACTGTAAAACAAAGTAATAATATAAATAAATAACATAAAGTACATTTTTCGCATATTCTTGCCATCCAACTTTTTAAACTGTAATTCTAACTGAATACGTCGCTCGAACCCTGGATTAATCAGAGACGTCTAACTACTTGCTTAGAAGCAATAGTAAGAATACAAAAGGGCAAACTGTATATAGCTATATAGGTTCACCATATTTATACATAGGCTAAGCTGTTATCACTACAGAAGTTATTTGAAGATGTTATAATTCAGTATACACTTGGAAAAAACAAACAGAAACGCATTTCTTACCCAGAACAGTGAGTCTAGTTCCCGGTCCGAAATAAGCAGGCTGATTGTTCACAATGTTTACCATCAGTAAAATAACTCTCTCATAGCTCTTTTGACGGGCAAAGAAGTAGGCAAATAATGACGTTTTCAAATTACATGGTATGTATAACTAACATTATACCCTATATTATACTAATTGTATCATACACAATAAGCTTATACCTATTAATTATGACCTGCATACATGCAACAATCCCGGCTCATACTACTGCCATAAGAATTACACAAGAAAAAAAACAATTTCTTACCTAAAACTGTGAGTTTAGTACCGCTGCCAAAGTAGGCTTGTTCGTAGTTCACGCTGATAGCAGGCAACAGATAAAACTACCCGTACGCAGGCTATGTGCTGCCCAGATGAAAGCCGTACAATACGAATACCATTATATTTTAGCATAAACATCTGCCCGATGGATACACAGAAACAGTAAACACCCAACAAATGAAGCATTAGATGCTTAAAGGTTTAATGGCATATAGGAAAAGCTTACCTAGTACTACGAGTCTGGTTCCATTGCCAAAGTAAGCCTGAAGCTGGCCGCTCACAGCAGTACAGGCTGGTAACTACACCGTATACACTGGGCAGCGAGCCAGGAAAGCAAGTAGGATACGACGGTGGGCAAAACATGACGAATTAAAGTGAATTATGCCGAACTTTCTGAGTTTTCGGATTAGACAGTACGGACTAAATCAAGAAACCGTCGGTAATTTATACATTTTCCCTAACGTAAACCTTTCCAAACATCTTACACCCATTGATTTGTTAGCATATGCAAGTAAAAAGCGGAGTATTTGTTCGCTGTCTTACCTATAACGGTGAGTTTAGTGCCAGCTCCGAATACGGCTTCGGAGTACGAGCACGCAATGACAGGACCGTCTCATAACGACACAGGATTCCCAGCTCTTAGCTTTTCTGCCTTTGCGAGGCTGTGCACCAGCATCTTATAAATTGAACTAATATGCGGGGAACACTGACACTGACATAAAGTGACTAAACAACTTGCAATTGTCCACAAAACAAAACTCTCTCTATATATACGTGTCATGGTTTAACACAAGTAAGTATAAAATATCAGTGTAATTATAACTGCTCAAAACAAGGCAACAATGAAACATTTCTTACCGAGTACGGTTAACTTGGTTCCATTACCAAAGTAGGGCTTATCAGCACCAGAGACACAGTAAACAAGTCTACTGACATTATTCTACAAATGTAGCTTTACTGCAAACATCTCTCCTATTCTATGTGACTCAAATGCTAGAATATAATCAGAAGCTTCTCTGTAGATAATAGAAGATGTAGGACACTCTGAACAAATAAACAACAGAAAAACTTACCAAGAACTGTTAATTTTGTACCAGGTCCAAAATAGGCTTCATAGTTGGCACAATGCACAATCACCATGTCAAAAAGTGTTGTAAAGATTAAACTGCTTTTCAGTGATTATCTTAGGGATAACTAATCAGCACTATACACCAGTTGTATGACAGTCTGAACAAATATATTATATAAAAACTTACCAAGAACAGTTAATTTCGTACCAGCTCCAAAATAAGCTTCGTATTGGCACAATGCACAATCACCATGTCAAAAAGTGTTGTAAAGACTATATTATATTTTTATGAAGATCTTAGGATTAACTGATCACTATTTTGCACAAGCTGTATGACATTCTGAGCAAATAAATTACATAAAAACTTACCAAGAACTGTTAATTTTGTACCAGCTCCAAAATAGACTTCATTATTGACACAATGCATTATCACTATGTCAAAAATTGTTGTAAAGCCCATATTATTTTTCAAAGGACATCTTAGGATTAATATATCACAGTTTTTATATTCCAGTGTCTATGTCATTGTAAATTATCCTATGACCCCAAATAGAAAGGGCACCAGTTTAATATGAACCTGATTTCATAATTAGTTTTACTTAGACAGCATAACCTGAAGTACACATTTGCATTTAATTCTATCAATTTCCATTTCATTCTATTAAGACCTTTTATTCATTTAAGATCCAATTTCACTTTTCACACAACATGTTTTCTTAGCCATAACAATCAGCTTTTGATGTAACAGTAACAGTCCCCAAGAACGATAGGAATTGTCATGGTAAAACAATGTTGTGCACGATATTAGCATTAGTCATATTGTTCTTTAAATGATCATTAATAAAGGAAAGCAGTGAATTTCAGTCATTCTTACCTAAAACAGTCAATTTAGTTCCATCTCCAAAGTAGGCAGGATTTGTATTGTCACAGTAAAAGACTGAGTACAAAATTCACTAATATTTCATTAACAAAGTATTTTACCAATCAACACAGAGAAATGCAAAGGGAAGTGTTTTTAAGCAAATGTCTAGTTGTAATTAATTAATAAGACTAATTAATATATTCTATACATATATTTACTGCCCCATTGTGTTTTTCTGGACTGCTAACTGTATATGTAGTTTCTGTTTATCTTAATGATGATAAAGTATTAAGGAAAAGTCTTACCCAGAACAATCAATTTGGTTCCATTTCCAAAGTATGCAGGCTCATTGTAAGTCACAGTGCTATTATACTTAACATTAAATTATCTTTCAGAATGCACGCAAACCTTTTCTCTCATTGATTATCCAAAGCAGTGTTTTTCTACTCAAAAAAGAAATGTGTGCTGTATGCTCAACCTTTTTTCGAGTTTTAATTTGGAGTTCAACTTACCTAAAACAGTCAATTTAGTTCCATTTCCAAAGTAAGCCTCACTTCCAGTGTCACAATGCTGATTTCACTGATAAAAACTCATCTTTGTGTTATTTGAATTTTAATAAAAAAGAATGTTAGCACTTTTCTTAAACAGAATTGATATATTTCCTTTAAATTATAATACATTTTTTTGTATGAGAAAAAAATTCCAAGATAATCTTCAGGCAACCGGTCCAACATGTAGATATTCCTGTGCATGTAAATTATTAAATCCTTTAGTAGAAAATAATTAAATGAATCACAAAATCTAATTTCCAGAGCCTGCCCTGTACTGCTGCTGCGTGCTGCTGTAATTTTCCATATGAATCCACTGTGGCAGAGGGATCTTGCATTTCCCAATGTGAGACAGACGGTGGGAGGTTTTTGTACAGCGGCTCTATGGAAATGTATCACCGTGGCCCCCTGTCCCCACGGTGTTAAAGCATCACACAAAAACAGCGACGCCTGCTTCGCTTCTCTCGCCCCACCCCCCCAACCCCCCGCTTTTCCCACGCTCGGTCTGCCACTGTTCACCCCTCATGTCACTGGAGTCTGTGTCAAACTGAACGTTTCTATTTATATACGTGACAATGTACAGAAAAAGGCAGGGGGCAGAGCCGCTAAAATCCCACCCCCTACATCCCACCAGAATAAAAGGAGCCCAAGAATTCACTCTTCACCCCTTGTGTCATACATGACGATGTTTTTAATACATTTTATTATATGGCCGTGCTATTTATAAAATCACACGTTTAATGAACTTGATATACCTTGTGGTTTATGGGTTAATTTTCTCATCATTAATCCTGCAGATTGTCTTCCTCTTGCCTTATATTGTCTGTTAAAGAAGCATGTGCCCCCCGAAAGTGGCATGGTGGCACGGTGGCATGGTGGCACGGTGGGTAGTGCTGTTGCCTCATATCTTCTGGGCTTGGAGTTTGAATGCTGGCCTTTGTGTTTTGCAGGTTTCTTCTTGGTACATTAGTTTCTTTTCCCAGTCCAAAAACATACAGTTAGATAATTACTGCCTTTAGATTGCCCATAGTGTGTGTGTGTGTGTGTGTGTGTGTGTGTACGCGCCCCACAATGGACTGGCATTCCATCCAATATCAAAATAAACATTTGATTGCACGTTAAAAGGTAGTAAAATACATTTCCAGCTAATGCTTAGGAGATTGTTTATACAACAACATAATTGAAGTAAAAGTAATATAGGTTTAAGGATAAGTGTGAGGGATGCAGTAGATGACCCTGGTCCACAGGCGGTTGTTTGACTTCGCTTTTCAAAAAGCAGGGTGATGTTGTGGTCTTCGCCAGTAGGTGGCGTTAGTTTTACAGTTTAATAGTCAGGTTTTATAATGTGAGCTAAAGTATGCAAGTTACTCGGAATTTTTGTTTTATGATGAAAGATTATATAAAAAATGAATACAATAATTATAAAAAAAAAAATATATATATACATATATAAGGCTGTTATTATGAAAATGGTTTCAGTTTAATTGCTTGAGTAACAAAGGAGCCAGTCAGTTGTTGTACAGTCTCTTGGAGAACATTAGAAATTAATATCACTTTAATCCAACATCCAGCTATTTGATTCACAAAAATCAATAGTGAGGTACATTGCATGCTTCAATAAGACATCTCTGTATCCACATGCAAGAACAGATTAGTTGTTATCATACTTGGGTTTAAGACTGATATGGGAAGGTACCAGGACGTTTGGGTGACAGTACAGTAAATCAAGAGCTTTTCTGACAACTGCACAACTTCTCCTGTAGATGTCATTATTTAATAACTTCTGTTGGTGCATGAAAGGTGGCGGGCTTTATGTTAGTAGGTATCATCAAAGCTTTATGTTAGTAGGTATCATCAAAGCTTTATGTTAGTAGGTATCATCAAAGCTTTATGTTAGTAGGTATCATCAAAGCTTTATGTTAGTAAGTATCATTGGCATCAGTAACAATACTATTATCATTTAAAGGGAGACATTCTGGGTTGTGGCGTCTAAGAGTGAAATAGACATTAAGTACTTGGGTGAGTATTGTTAAAATGGGACAGTTTCTGAAGATTTGCTTTCTGAAAAAATCATCTCAATATCTTGAATCCCAACTTGATACCATTCTGAATGCAGTAGTGCCCCTTGGACACTAATCAGTAGTGAAAGTGAAGTATTATCGTACACATATACATGTATTAACTGCAAAGTTTAACTGTCTCATTTTTCCAGGTGTCCCATTTTCACAACACCCACCCTGTTATGTTTGTAATGAATTATTTGACTCGCTCGTATAACTTGTACACCGCTTTAGACCAACCCATTTGCTAAATAAATGTAAATATAAATACTGTAATAACAATTACTGTGTTTTTATGCAGTGCAAATTTTAGAGAACATATACCGAATTTAAGAATGGTAGAATTTTCTTGCAGAAAATGTGGTTAATGGTTATTGTACAGCAGCACAACTGCTGTGAATCACTGTGCAATACTGGAAGCGCAGTA